AAACATCTGAAGACCCGCCCAACTTGGTAACCCCAGGCACGACATCACCATCTGATCATCCAGAACCTCTACGAATCGACCATGTAGTAAGGGAGGTCCAGTCTAGTAGTAGACTAAGCAGTGTAGGGTGGTCTATGGGTCTATCCTGTTGCCAGTAACCGTGGATGATGATCGTTAGTAAAGGCCTTGCTTTAAAATAGTGATCATTGTCTACTGCCTGTTACAGGTAAGTTCGGACACACCCAAGGTAGTCGATGGGTGACTTCAATGGTCAAGGTATACATTCCTTGTGTTTCTCAGGCCTCTTCTGAGAGTCGTGAAAGTTCTCCTGCTACTGTCCACAACATCAAACCACAACCGGTACACTGAGTGATCAACGATGTTCTCCTACCTCTCACACCAAGCCACACCTAAGCATGAGGACGCACGAGGTATAAATCTAATCCAAGTCCGAAGCTTTGATAACACATGCAGGTCTTGGCTTAGAGGACGCTACATTGCTACATGGTTTGGATCATTTGGATTACCTAATAGTCCCTCTTTCCTCCTCTTTCCACATGTTCCCCTGTGTCAGCCCTGCTTGCGCCCCTCCTTCCGCCGGCGCTTGCCCTCGAACTCCACGGAGATCTCTTCGAACTTCCTCGCCGGTCCGGACCCGTCCGGTGGACCCGGGGGAAGGAGTTGGTTCGGTATGTCCGACGCTAGCCTTCAGCTAGCTGAAGCTAGATCACATCAGAATACATCAGATCTCATAGCACATAGAATGCTTCCTTTCGGAGGCCAGATTGGACTTTCTCTCTTGGGATTGAACTCGTCAAGATCCCACACAAAGAGTTCGCCCCTTCCGCACACAAAGAGTTCGCCAAACCTGAATTTCTTCGGTTTGGAACGTGAAGACTTTCATGAAGAACACCCACAGCCGCAGCCGCCACCCCAGGTGGGTGCCTCACCCAGGTCTTCGCCTCTCCCAGGTCTCTCCGAGTGGCCTCTTGTGGGGCGCCATGGGCGTCTCCCCGGATCGCTCCGTCTTCGGCCGCTTGGAACCCTCCAAGACCTGGTGGGACGAGCGGAAGAATCGACGACGATCAACACCTGGTGTCAAAGACGATGGGGGTTCTTAATCTGGGAGGAAGCTGGGTTGCTTCATGTTTCTCCTGAGAATCACGCATTTATGTATATAACTTTCTCTAACTACAGTAACTCTTATGTATTAGAAGAGCTCAGGCAGCTAGGGCTATTGATATAACACATGATATACAGTAAGTTTAGAATATTTAGTACCACCCTATACCAAAGCCAACAGGTCGGTGCCTTACACAACCGTCCCAGAGGATGCGGTCTCATGGATCAATCCCTAGCGACCAACCGTGCCTTCAAGAGTCTCGGAATCCCAATCGCAACGGCTTTTCCAATGTTCACATGCAAACATGTAGACTCAATGTAGACCATCTCTACATGCTGCTTCATTCGACCGGTGGCTCCCGCCAGCCTACGAGGCACAAACAGGTTCCCACCAACCCCGTCAACCCCGGGAACGCCGCGCGCGCGCGCACGCGCGCCTCGGGGACGATCCTTTCGCCGCTGCGAATCCCGTGCTCGATGTAGTCGAGGAGCTCCTGTCGCTCGAGGAGGCCGATGTACCTGGGAGGCGGGCGACCTGCGGGCGGGACGGGACTGGTGTTTCTCAGCCCCAATATGGGTTCCAAAGGGGGGGAATGGGGATGGAGGTCGGAAGAATCACATGGCCCCCCCAGCATGGTGATAACATGAAGGTTTCACGCCATCACGAACAGCAAACAGGGCAGATCACGCTGCAAGCGTGGCGGATTTGGGCAATCAGTCAACATTTTTCGAAAGCAGCACATGAACAACGCCTACAGTGCTTTCCCTCGTTGCTTTGCAACATTTTACAACATATTATAGTTTATGGAAACATGGGTGAGTGTTCTTAAATTTAATAGTCGTTGGCTGTTCTTGGCGTGATTAATCCCGGACTGATGGGAGCATAGACATGCACAACAATTGGGGAACAGATTCTTGGTGGGGAAGTTTGGCCATGTCATGTCATGTCTCCCTGTTTGGAGCCTGACTAGTTGTGTCATGTCTAAAAAACACCGCTTACACTGCTCATCGGGGCTGGGCATGCTCACTGGGGTGGCCAATTCGGGAAACTCGATGGAGCCACCCGATCCTCAAATAAATTAGGGCTCCCAAAATGTCTGGGTCTCCAAAGGTGTTAGTGTTGGCACCCCGTGTTTTCTGGGGAATGGAGAGAGGCAAAGCAATCAGGGCCCGGAAAGGAAGAGGTTCCCCCCTTTGGCGCACCTCTGATTTGGTTGGGAGCCTGAGCACTTCCCACTAGGCACAGCGGCCGGAGGGTTGAGATGGTTCGACCGAATCGGAACCGATTGCAGCGGCGCCTCGGAAGATGAGTGCACCCACCAAAACATCAAACCGTTCCAAAAGCTGCATCTGCGGCTGTCCCAAATGGCCGCGGCGCTGAAAGCCCTTCTTCCGGGCTTGACTTTGGGTGTAGGAGTTCTCACTGCTCACCTGGTGGTACCTCAGGCGAAAGTCGACACCGGAGTCTGACACCGGAGTCTGTTAGCCTCGGCAAACCGCTGAATCACCTTGAAGTGGACACATCACACATCTCCGAACAGTGCATGATTGTTCAGTGGAGGGGAACATGTTTAGCAGCCATGTCAATTCTTCTCCCAAACCTCCACCCTCTTTAAAAACAATCCCTTTACATGTCTTCGAAAGTGTTCGCTCTTTGCAAGTCCTCCCACAAGAAGCACAAAGGAGGCACTGAGGTTTCAGTTCATCTTGCCGCAAGGGGTTCTTCCTCACCCGGCGACCTTCGAAAACAACCGTCGTCTTTGGGCCGGGTCAGCCGACCGTCAGCCAAGTGGCATATACTGCACGGATCCGATATCAATGAACGGCTGTGCTCTTGAGGGTCTAAAGGCACATCGAGTGTTCTTGTGTATCCGGTAGGCACCGAATTCCAGAAAGTCGTACTCGCAGATGACGCGCTGTCCTGCACCCAGTATCACCCAATGACCAAGCGGGGGGGAGATAGCTCCTTTGGAAGATCGTGAACAAGAGATCTATGGCATCCATGGCCCCAAAAACGTCTCGGTGGACCAAGGAAACACTGGACATGGCCCGCCACGCATGCGAGTCGCGAGTCGCTGAGCGTCCCGGTGCAGGCGCCCAACGTGGCCAAGGCCGGGGAGGGGGTTGGTGCGAGGTTGGTTTTTCGTTGGCCCTTCAAGGGTCCATCATCTTTCATTCAGTGAGCATATTGATCCAATCTTCCGAAGCCTAGCGGATGATGATGATGATGATGATGATGATGATGATGATGATGATGATGATGATGATGATGA